TTTTTACATACACCACACACATTTTTACATACACCACACACATTTTTGCATACACCACACACATTTTTACATACACCACACACATTTTTACATACACCACACACAAAATGCACACATACATTTACATACATAATTTTTTTAAAGAGGTGAAAGCCAGTCATGGTGGCACACGCCTTTCATCCCAGCACTCAGGAGGCAGAAGCAGACAGCAACTTTGTAAGTTCAAGGTTAACCAGGCCTGCACAGTTAGATCCTGTCTAGAAAGGGGGGAGGGACTCTACCCAGATAATATAGACTCCCCCGCATATGATGGATGGGGAAGCAGTCTACAATGGCATCCCCAGGTTTCAAATGAGCCCACACTGTCTACCTCCCCAGGTTGCCTACCTTCTGGGGACTCTGTGATCCTGGTTCTTCTGTCTTCTGGGTCCTCCCCACCCTCCCCACCCTGTTCTTGATCCTTCTTCACTTTCTAGGATGACCTGGGCCCTGGGTCCCAACCTGCTATTGCTTGTTCCCACATGGTGGCCTTTCCTCCCCCATCCCCACCCCCATAATGGTAGGGAGAGCGCTGCTCCTGCGTGGTGGAACGTCACGATCAGGGCAAGAGGGGAGGCAAGTTGGGATCAGTGAACCCCACCTTTATCCCAGCCCCTGCTGTACAATAGACCAGCCTTGGGCCCACCTCCAGCACTCCCTCCCAGGAGGGGTAGCTCCCACACAGCAGTCTTGGTAATGAGTAATGACTGTTCTGGGTCACACTCTGGAGTCAGGCATTGTCGCCTAAGGCGCTTTGATCATTTGTGCGGCTTCTAGAATTCTGTTTTCTGATCCCTAGCAATCTAAGGCTGAGTCCATGGTGATGGGCAAAAGCCCCCCCCCCCCCCCTAACCCAGTAAGTGCCACTAGCATGCAGTAAATGCCCACCCTATGTCTGCAAAAGCCTGGGGACCGCGTGGACTGTGAGTCAGGTCGTGTTCTGCCTCACAGAGCACAGCACGGCAGGCACAGGGTGAAAAGCATGAGGCCTTCTATGTCACCATGGAGACAGGAGCTAGCTGCCTCTGCCTCGAAGCAGTACCAGATAGACCTGCGGCTCAAGAAGTAGGCAGATGAGAGTTCAGAGGGGTCGCCCACCCCTGTCCCATGTCCGCACTGCCTCTGGATCCCTCCTCCCTCCCCAGGGAGAGACTGTGCCCCACTTAGTCTGCTCCTTGTGAAAGAACCCAGGCCTTTACATGACCCTGGGCCCGACTGCCTGATGATATATTAGCCAAGGGCCTCCCCTCCCTCTAAGGGCTGCTTACCTTTCTGGGTCACTGTTCGTGCCCCCGCCCCCTGCCCTGCAACCTAAATACGGGTCAGGTAACAGAATATTTTGACTTGTGGCGACTCTGAAGAGAGTTATCGAATTATCAAAGCTTGTGCATTGCGTTGGAATTTTGCAGGCAATTTGGTCTCTCTGACCCCTCACGAGCATGCTCCTGCGGGGGGCTCTTCCATTTTTGTGGGGTCGGGTGATCTTTGCCATTCCGTAGGGAAGACAAGATTTGGACAGGCCAGTCTCGGGGGGCGGTGGGCAGTGCTCTAGGCTTTGATCCCCTCACTTTGATCCCACTTTGGTGGCCGGCTCCTGCTCTTGAAGACCAGTGGTCTGACACAGAAAGGACTGTCCTCGAGACTCCTTTGGTGGGCCTGGCACAGAGCAGGCCTGTTGCGGCATCGTCCTGCAGCCACCCCAGGACGGTGGTTCTGGGGCTGTGGTTCCCCTCTGACTGTGAGCACACTGGCCCGTGCACATTTCTGACGATAGGGAACAGAGTGCTCTTTTAGAAGCCCCTTGCTTACACCTCCACTCCAGGCTTTCTTTGCTGTGTCTTCGTGTCGTCTCCAGCTGCCCCTCAGCAAATCCTGCAGGTGTTTCCTCAGCCTGTCGGTGTTTGGTCTGAATCTAGCCATCTCCGTAACTGCCCTGGGGCCAGCCCATCACTATCTGTTCTGTGGATCCTCGGCCTACTGTTTGGCCTCCCAGGTCTCCTCAGCTCCCCGAGATTAGATCATGTGACCCCCCCTGCCCCAAGTTAAGTCTTTCTGTCACTTAGAGTCCAACCTCTCACCCTCTGATCATGCCTATTCCTTGCCGCTCGCTTCCAGCTCTGTATTCTCCTCTCAGACCTGCTGGCTGTGCACACTTTGGGCCTTTGTGGGACGCTCAGCTCCCAAGAGAACCTTGTACCACCTTCTCTGTGAGAACAGCCTTGCCTTCCTTCTCTGACTCCCAGCATCTGCTCACCCCGACTGCTCCCCCTTTCTTTATAGAACTTAGCGCCATGTCAGTTGTAGCCTACTTACAGACTTGTTAGCAGACTGTGAGCGGCCCCAGCCCGCATGTACTGGAGATTGTATAACAGCAGTATTAGGTGGTCCTGAGATGTGGGGCCTTGGGATGTAGGCAAAGATGGGCGTACTTCCTGCTTCGTAGGCAGCCATCTTGATTCCATATCAAGCTCTCTCTGTGCTTTCCCTCTCTCTTTTCTTGTTTTATTTATTTTTATTTTATGTGCACTGTTTTGTTTTGCCTGCATAATTGTCTCTGTGAAGATGTCAGATCCCAGAGGATCTGGAGTTTTAGGTGGCTCTGAGCTGCCATATGGGTGCTGGGCATTGAAATGGGGTCCTCTGGAAGACTGAACCATGTCTCCAGCTCCCTCTCTGGACTCTCTTTCAAGACACTGATCCCACCCATTTAGGTTCCTCACCTCATAAGGCCCTGCCAGCTAATGCTGTCATAGTGAATTTGACTAACATTCCCCCTGTAGCTATGTGTTCTTGGAATGCTAGCATATAAAAAGGTGTGTGTGTGTGTACGTGTGCACGTATGTGCATGCTCTTGTGTGAGCCTCCTGATGGGAAAGAAGAGCAGCAGAAAGAGTGTCCATGTACCCCACACAATATTATGTTATTTATGTCTTGGGCCACCTGAGGAAGATTCGTTCATTCTGCTTAGCAAATGGTGAACCCAAAGCTCTACACAGCCAGGAAGCAGGGAGGCACATCTTAAAACGCGTGTATGTCCTGTCCTTAGATACCTGAGAGCAGGCCACCCCCAGACCTCCACCCGGGCCAGGCCCCCTGCCTTGTAGTCACAAGGGGTTAGTGGGCAAGCAAGACTCATGATGGGCCTTCTTAATCTGTCTGTGTGGACTCTGGGGAGCCATGAGACACATGGGTTGAGGAGAGAGATGTAAACGCCATCCTTTGGCACTAGGGATGTAACCCTGTGCTTGCCAAGCAGGTGTGAAGCCGTGGGTCTGCTCCCACTAACATTATATCCAACTGTACAGAGCCGCCCCCCTCCCCGCTATAGTATAAGTTTAAGGACATCCTACATGACACCTTGTCTTCAGAAGAATAAAAAGGGATGGATCAGCAAGGCGGCTTGGTGGATAAAATCCCGGTGACCTGAGTTTAGTCGGGGGACCCATACAGTGGAAGGAGAGATCTGATTCCTACAGGTTGTCTTCTGACCTCCACATACGCCATGGCACATTGCCTGCATACACATAGGATTTTAAAATTGAAAATCTAAAGGCCACACTTAAAACTAGACGGAATTCAGTTTAGACACACTCTCGGAAGGTTGAATTTGTTCTAACAACCGAGATGAACCTGGACAAATGTGGGGTGTCCCATCCCACCCCTCACAAACACACCCCACTTGTCCAGGTCACTGCCCTCGGGCCCCTCGTGCTGACTCTGCACCCCTTGTTTGCTTGGCCTCTGTGGGGACGCCTTCAGGCAGTGAGCTCTGGCCTCAGGGCTGTCCAATCATTCATTCCTCACGCTGCCCAGCCTGCCAGGGCTCCGATGAAATTCTTGAAATTTCATGGGACAGGCAGAGCCCTGCTAAACTAGTTTTTGTTCTTCAGCCTCAGGGCCACAGAGCCCTCTGTTGAGGCCCCAAACAATGTCCCAGTGTTCACAGAGATTCGAGGTGGGAGACAATGGGGCCTAGGCAGATGAGAATCATCTTGCCCCCGCCGGCCTCGAGGGCCAACTTCTCTCTGACTCGGGGTTTCAGTGTTGCTGGAAAGTCCCTATCCCAACCCACTTTGCTCTCTGTGAAGCCAAGTCCACC